TGCCACACAAGAGGGGGGGTGATTTGTGTGGTACCCAATTTTTGCTTAAACTGCTTCTGGAAGGACCTGGTTCTTCTAGGTGTACTAACGACTGCTGTTTGCGGAATTAAAAGTACATAAAATAAAGAACACAGAAATTTTAACGTGGAAAACACCTGGCTCAAAAGGTGAAAAAACCACGACCTACTACTCAGTAGGATTTTCCCAAACTTCCACTAAAATCACTGAGCCAAAACTGCGTTTACAAAACTCTTTGTAAACCTAAGGATTAACTCTAATCCCGTTGTGGCAACCAGCCTCTAACTGCTGCGACAACTTCAAGTTAACTCTAACTTGAATACTCAAAGTACCTATTACAATTGCTTCTACATAAAGCTGAAAGGTACAATATGAAAACACCTACTACAATTGAACTAGAAATAAAGAAAGAGATATAAAACTCTTTATGGAGCTGGTTCTTCAATCTGGTTCTTGTAGCTTCAGGTTTGCACACTTAAATCACACACGAATTGCTTGCAAAAAGCCTTGCTATTTTGCTCCCAATTCACGTTTAACTTCTGCGTTTTTGTGCAACACTTTAATGTGAGAACATCCTGCAATTTATAGAGTTAGTAGATGAAGAAATAACTAGAGTTCTGATGCAACTCTTCCTTGGTGGAAGAGTTCTAGTTGATTTCAACTTCTAACTCCTTCCCTATCTTGAATAGTGTTCTCTTTGATTAAGGAGTCCTTCTCCTTATCAATTATGCAACCTTTTCGATCAGGAGATATTAAATACACCAAGTTAAGCTTATCTCCTTCACGTTCATCCCACATGCTTGAATCTGCCCGTTTTTGTGAACCTGAGGGATGGACCACGGGATGGACCTGGTTCATCATGAGTTCCTTTGTCAGTCTTCAAAACTAACCTTTACTTAGGCCAACAGCCCGAGTCCTATATTTTCCTACGGACCCTCCGGACCGTCAAATCACGGGTCTAGGTCCGTTTACCCAAAATGTTGACCGAAGTCAAATTAACTTATTTTATAACCAAATTTTATCATTTTTCATAGATTTTCATATTTAAGCTTTCCGGGTACGCGCCCGGACTGCGCATGAAAATCGAAGTGACTGTAAATGGGGTTTTCAAGGCCTCGGAGTCATAGAATTTAATTTAAAACAAGTGATGACCGTTTGGGTCATCACAGCTCTCCAATCCAAGCCTAAAGATTCCCAAAACTTCCAAATTCTGCTTTCGATCAAAAAGTCTATCAGACCTCGTCCGAATGACCTGAAATTTTGCACACACGTCACAAATGACACCACGGACCTACTCCAACATTCGAAATTTCATTCCGACCCCGATATCAAAATCTCACTACCGAACCGGAAACTTGAAAAATCCAACTTTTGGCATTTCAAGACTAATTAAACTACGGACCTCCAAAACACAATCCGAACACGCTCATAAACCCAAAATCACCCAACGGAGCTAACGGAACCAACGGAATTCCATTCCGAGTCCGTCTTCATACTGTTCCGACTATGGTCCAAATTTTAAAACTTAAACTCTCATTTAGGGACTAAGTGTCCCAAAACTCTCCGAAACTCCAAATAAATCCTCCCGGCAACTCACAATAGCAGAAACAAACACGGGAAATGCAGTTATAGGGGATCGGGGCGTTAATTCTTAAAACAACCGGCCGGCCGGGTCGGTACAATACTGGATCAGTATAAATGCTCTAATTACTGTAACATAACTCCCAACATATAATATAATTTGTGGTTAAAAATGCATAAAACACTACACCCAATGGTTAGGTAAAGTACTGGAATTCAGACGAAATGATGAAATATTATAGGTAATGATGAAATCTTATAGGCAACTAAATTGCTTTACTCTTCTCCAATATAATATACTGATTTATATCGCTTCATAACTAGAATTTCCAGCATAACATACAGGAACCAACCTATGAAATCAAACTTATTTTTGCATAAATCAATATAAATAGCTTCAAATCCGGCAAAATATACTTTATTATACACATCCAGTTTAAAATACTGGAGAAAATACTTGCAGGTGATATAGCAGTAGCATAATATACTTATTGTACACATCAAGTTTAAAATACTGGATAAAATACTTGCAGGTGATATAGCTGCAGAACAATATACAGGAATCAAAATTACATAACAAATGAAAATTAGAATCCAGTATACTGGATCAATATAATCTTGTAATATTATGATATCCAACTTATTATTCATAAAATATAGAGTCCTATGAAATAATTTTAAAAATATAATTATTATTATAATAAAACTCCCAACGTATAATATAATTATACATAAAAACACACCATCAAAATTGTAATCTCCAATCTGTAACGACCCGGCCGATCATTTTAAGAATTTACGCCCCGATCCCCTATTAACTGCATTCCCCGTATTTGTTTCTACTATTGTGAGTTGCCGGGAGAATTTAATTGGAGTTTCGTAGAGTTTTGGGACACTTAGTCCCTAAATGAGAGTTTAAGTTTTAGAATTTGGACCGTAGTCAGAACAACGTAAAGACGGCCTCAGAATGGAATTTCGTTGGTTCTGTTAGCCCCGTTGGGTGATTTCGGCTTAGGAGCGTGTTCGGATTGTGTTTTGGAGGTCCGTAACTTAATTAGGCTTGAAATGCCGAAAGTTGAATTTTTGAAGTTTCCGGTTCGATAGTAAGATTTTGATATCGGGGTCGGAATGGAATTTTGGAAGTTGGAGTAGCTCCGTAGTGTAGAATGTGACGTGCTTACAAAATTTCAGGTCATTCGGACGAGGTTGGATAGACTTTTTGGTCGAAAGCATAATTTGGAAGTTTTTGGAATTCTTAGGCTTGAATACGATGATGATGTGGTGTTTCGATGTTGTTTGAGGTGTTTTGAAGATTGGTATAAGTTTGGATAGTGGTATATGACTTGTTCGTGCTTTTGGTTGAGGTCCCGGGGGCCTCGGGATGATTTCGGATGGTTAACGGGAAGTTTGGAGTTGAGAGTTTACAGCTAAAGCTGCTATCTGCTGTCATAACCGCACCTGCGGCTTGGGGACCGCAGGTGCGAGCCCGCAGAAGTGGTTGAAGTACCGCAGATTCGGTTTGAGACGAAAAGGGAGTTGACCGCAAATGCGGTCAAGGGCACCACGGAAGCGGCACCGCATCTGCGGAAAGGCAGTCACAGGTGCAGAAAGCCCCGTTTAATGAGATGTCGCAGAGCGACCAGGTCTTCGCAGGAGCGGGACCGCAGGTGCGGTGCCAGAGCCGCAGATGTGGTTTCACTGGCCAAAAAAGGGGCAGAACGAGGGTTTAGTTTCAAAAGTTAGAAAAAATTGATTTAGAGCTCGAGAGAGGGCGATTTTGGGAGATTTTTTAAGAGGAAATCAGTGGGTAACGGTTCCTAATCCCTTTCTAGTTGTATTCCTCTAATCTAATCTTAGTTTTGTCATTTAATTTCGGATTTGGGATGAAAATTGGGGAAAAAGTTGGAGAAAGTTCTTAGACCTAAATTTCGAGTTTTGATTGGGAATTTGACGTTGGATTTGGATAATTTTGATATGGTTAGACTCGTGAGAGTATGAGGATTCTGAAAATGTAAATTTTACCCGATTCTGAGACGTGGGCCCGAAGGGCATTTTGGTAATTTTCCCTAGTTTCGCATATTAGCTTAGAATTTATTTGTAGAATCAGTTACTTGAAGTTATATTTACATTATGCAATTGAATTGATTTGGGCCATTTGGAGTCGAGTACTCGTGGAAAGAGCGTGGTTTCGGGTTGATTTTGAGCCGGTTCCAGGTAAGTGGCTTGTCTAACCTCGTGTGGGGGAACTCCCCTTAGGTTTTGGTACTGTGATATCTGAAATGCCTTGTACGTGAGGTAACGAGTGCGTACTCGTGACAAGAGCGTGGTTTCGGGCCATTTGGAGTCGAGTACTCGTGGCAAGAGCGTGGTTTCGGGTTGATTTTGAGCCGGTTCGAGGTAAGTGGCTTGTCTAACCTCGTGTGGGGGAACTCCCCTTAGGTTTTGGTACTGTGATATCTGAAATGCCTTGTACGTGAGGTGACGAGCGCGTACTTGTGATGATTGTTGAAAATCCTATTTTTTCATTTTAGTATCTATATTTCGTATTTTACTCCACTGTTTACGTTACTTGAACTTTGAATTTACTGTTAGCCTAGGAAAGCATGCCTAAATGACTAAATTGTTTACTTGCTCAAATCTATGCAACATGCTAGGTTAGAATTACCTGTCTATTTTGATATTAAATTGAATTGAGTGGATTATATTTGTGTTGTTGTTGCGTGTTTACATTGGGACTAGGGGCGGTTCCCGGTAGATCCCCCTTGTCTGTTTATTTGGGACTACGGACGTGTTATTCCGGTAGATCCCCCTGTACAGTGATATGGACTACGGGACAGCACCCGGGAGATCCACTGATTATTTACTTTTAGGACTACGGATGTGGTATTCCGGTAGATCCCCCTACACAGTGATATCGACTACGGGACAGCACTTGGGAGGTATATTTGCCGCGTCCGCAGACCGAGGAGTCTCTTTCTACTCTCTGTACTAGTTTGGCCCTTCTGTATTTTTCTTGTTGATAGACATTCTGGAGTTAGAGCTTTTTATATATCTCTTAGCTTGTGATTCATGGGATTCTGGGTTTTGGGAATTGTTCAATTTTTGAGATCTTGTATTGGTATATGCCGAGCAGCATCTTAAACACTTCTACAACTGTTTATCTTCAATTTTTATTAGTTTTCTGCATTTTGTTCCTTTTTCTAAAATTGTTAGGTTTACCTAGTCAGAGACTAGGTGCCGTCACGACAGTTCACGAAGGGCGAACTTGGTCGTGACATAATCCTTATAACTTTATTTCAATTAATAAATCAGTCAAATTTACCGTAAAAAATCTGGATTGTGCACATCCAGTATTAAATACTGGACATTATGCTTTAACAATATATACCTCCAATATAATATACAGGAAACAAAATTTTAAATTATTTAACTCCAGTAAATTGTTCTAGATACCTATTTTACACTTCTCTCCATTATAATATACTGGCTTATAACACTTCACAAGTAACATTTCCAGCATAATTTATAGGGAGCAATCAAAATAAATTCAACTAATATGTTGGATTATATTAAACGTAACATATCAATATAAATAGCTTCAAATCCAGCAAAATATACTTTATTATACACATCCAGTTTAAAAACTTCAACTTTAATGTCTGCACGTATAATGTCTTCAACTTTGGCAGATACCCTCTGAAAATAAAACAAAAATGGTAAGAATTTCATCATCATAACACAGAAACATTCTTATCGAGTGTGAACACAATTCAAGAAGGCAAGAATATAATTTTGTATAGTAAATTATTAGAACTGAAAAACATAATGAAATAAAATATTTTATACTTATCCAGTATAATTTACTGGAGAACACAGCCTACAGATGGCAGTCTTTCAGTATAATATACTGGATGAAATGAATTAGAAGGTGTGAAACTCCAGAAACAAATACCGGGGTACAAAGAAGAAAAATAATCAAAGTGCATATTATAAAAGAAAAAGACAAATAATCATTCAAAAAATTAATCACAAATAAAACAACAGTATAGTCTAAACAGAACTCATCCAGTATAACATACTGGACAACAAGCTTACACACGGCAAACTTCCTGTAAAATATACTGGAATCAAATAAAACTCAACTATAATATAATAATCATCCAGTATAACATACTGGAAGACAATCATTCACAGGACAGACTTCTAGTATAATATACTGCACAAAATTTATTACTAAACTTGATAAATTTACTCATAGAGTATATTAGGCGTATCCAGTATAAACTAATCAAGTATATTATACTATAGAAGTATACTGTATAAATATATTAAACTCATAAAGTATATTAAAATGATTGAGTTTTATAATTATCCAGTCATTTGTGATGACCCAAAAGGCCATCACTCGTTATGAAAGAAAATTTTGTGTTCTGAGGCCTTAATAACCTCTTTTTGTCTCACCTCGATTTGCGTGCGCAGTCCGGATGTGTTTCGAAAAGCTTTTATGTGAAAACTAAATGAAATAGGGAAAATGGCCTTTAAAATTGATTAAAATTGACTTTGGTCAACATTGTTGGTAAACGGACCCGGACCCGTGAACCGACGGTCTCGTAGGGTCCGTGGTAAAATTTGGGACTTGGGCGTATGTCCGGAATCGAATTCCGAGGTCTCAATCCCGAGAAATGAATTTTTGAAAGAAATTGTTTAACTGAAATTATAAGAGTTTTGGAAACGAAAAGATGCTTGAAATTGATGGCAATGGGCCCGTATTTTGGTTCCGGAGCCCGATACAGGTCTTATATAATAATTAAGTTGAATCTGTGAATTTTGGTAAGAATCAGAGTTCATTTAGTATAAATCGGACCTTTAATTGGGAAAATAGAAATTTGATGTTCTTGAGTAATTATATGAATTTGAGGTTTAATTCATGGGTGTTGGTGTTATTTTGATGATTTGATCGCACAAGCAAGTCCGTATGATATTTTTGGACTGCGTGCATGTTTGGTTTGGAGCTCCGAGGGCTCGGGTGAGTTTTGGATAGGCCACGGGGTGAATTTAGACTTGGAACAAAAAAAGTTGCAGGTTCAGAGAAAGTTGCAGGTCTCTGAAACCAGGCTTCGCGGTCCGCAGTGGGGTCTTCGCGACCGCGGTGGGCTCTTTGCGACCGCAGTGGGATTTATGCAGTCACCGATGAGCAAGGCCATGTCATCGCCGCCGCGCTCGATATTTCGCGATCCATGGTGGACTTCGCGGCCGCGGTCCTTTTTCTGCGGTCAGCGGTGAGGATCTGAGGGGTATATATAAACGAGCCTTTTCAACCATTTTTCATTTTTCAAAAACCTAAAACATAAGAGGCGATTTTTCAAACACTCTTTCTTTCCCAAAACACAAGTGATTAAACTCATTTCTTTCACTCCTTAACTTCTTTTTGCAAGATTTCATCCTAGAATCTATGGTTTTCATGGTGGAATTGGAAATTTTGGATAGAACTTAGGGATATTGAAATTTGGGGATTTAGACCTCAAATTGAGGTTGGATTCCAAAACCAATTATATATCCGGGCTCGGGGGTGAATGGGTAATCGGTTCGTCCAAATTTCGGGTTTGGACCAAGCGAGCCCAGGGGCGATTTTTGACTTTTTTGGAAAAATCACTAGAAAACCTATTTTCAGGCATTAGAATTGATTTATTTAGCATTTATTAATGTTATTAAGTAAACTGTGAGTAGATACAAGCGAATTGGAGGTGGAACCAAGAGGTAAAGCGGTAGTTGAGACTTGATATAACAATCAGCAGGAAACCACTGTTTAAATTCATAAAATCTATCTCCCTCCTAAAATGAAAATATAAGATATATAAGCAACATTTCATATAATTTTAAGATAAAAACTTCAACATTTCAAAAATACGTACCTTCAATAACCTACTTGAAGATTCCATTTCTATAAAATCATGAAAACAAAACATATTACAAATTAGATAAGTAAACACAATCAGAATCCAGTATATATAAAAGAAACAAATTATAAACAGAACTCATCCGGTAAAATGAACTGGACAACAAAGAAACATAATCAAATTATTGCAGTCTTCCAATATAATATACTGAATCACAATAACTTAGAAGATATGAAACTCCAAAAATAAATACTGGGAAGAAACATAATCAAAAAGCATATTATAATAATCATCCAGTATAACATACTGGAAGACAAACATTCAGAGGACAGACTTCCAGTACAATATACTGGAGAAAATTTTATTTCTAAACTCTATAAACAAAAAACATAATAAAAAATCACACAGTATAAACATAATCACAAGCCTTAACATACTGTACAACAAGCTTAAAGACGGCAGACTTCCATTAAAAGATACTAAAATAAAACAAAACTCAAGTATTATATACTGGACCAAAGAGCATAATAAAAAAGAAAAGAAGACAAATAATCACTCAAAAAAAAATTATGACAAATAAAACAATATTCTAGTCTAAACAGAACTCATCCAGTATAACATACTAGAGAAAAAGCTTACACACGGCAGACATCCCGTAAAATATACTGAAATCAAACAAAACTCAATTATATTATAATATTCATTCAGTATAACATACTGGAAGACAAACATTCACATGACAGACTTCAGTATAATATACTAGACAAAATTTATTACTAAACTCAATAAAAAACATAAGCAAAAACCACGCAGTATAAAATACTGGGAAACAAGCCTTCAGAAGACAGCTTTCGCGTATAATATACTACATCAAATTTAAAATGAAGTCCAGCACAATGTTCTGGATTTCAAGTTTAACAAAAAATGGAGAAATATATAATGCAGTTGAAAGGCGGCACACTATGTTATTAACCCTAATAACATACTGGACAATAAGCTTAAAGACGACACACCATCTTTAAAGGATACTGAAATAAAACAAAACTCAAGTATTATATACTGGACCAAAGAGCATAATAAAAAAAAAAAGACAAATAACCACTCAAAAAACGTAATGACAAATAAAATAAAATTCTAGTCTAAACTATACATGTTTAACGGGCGGGCTGGGACGAGCTGAACGGGAAATAATCCAACCCGTTCGGTTAGCTGGCAGGCTGAGGGCGGGTTGAGAAATTTTGAGTTTTTTAAGGCCCGTTCGGGTTCAAGGTAAGCAGGTTCGGGCGGGCCGGGCTACTATTTTTTTATATATATAAATTAAATTTTGTTTTTCTTATTGAATGTTATTTATACTTAAGTATGTGCAAACTTTTAAGGCTTAGAATTAAACTTTGAAGTTTAAAGTTTAAAGTTTTAAATTTGAAATTTGTATTTTAAATTATAAAATTGAAATTAGAAAGTAAGTGGCTACAAAAAATTATTTAATAAGACCAATAGGCACTATGTAAGGAACAAACTCCGAAGGCTTTCATTTTATATATTTAATACTTCAAATTAATTTGCAAGTTCTTTTTTTATTTTTATTTTTTAACTTACAAATTAAAAGTTTACATCAATTATAAAAAATAAGAAATAGTATATCACATATTGAAGTTTGCATTTAACAAGTAAATTAACGAAAAAAGAGTAAAACTAAATTTTCATGCATAATAACACTTCAAATTAATCTAACAAACTAAAACATTAAGCATAAATATATCTAATAATTTTAAAATAACACAAATTGTCTCAAATCAACTTAAATATGAATTTCTGGAGAACGCTCAAGACAACTCTTCATATGCCTCCTTAAAGAGCCTGTGCCACACTTTGGACGAAGATTTAAGACTAGACCACAATTCTTGCACTTTACTTTCTGAACTTCTTTATTTTCTTCTACCACCTCAAAGTGTTCCCAAACATATGAGCGCACTCTAGAAGTACGGGGCATGATTTAACTTGAATTGAGAATTTGAGTTTGAGAAATGAGAGATGAGTGAAGAAATGAAGAAGAGGGGGGTGTATTTATAGTTTTTCAAAGGGCTAATTAGGTAATTACAAAAGGTATTTATTTATTTTTTTAAAAAGCCCAAAAATGGGCTATTTGTGCAAATCTGCCGTTGGGCAACGGCCCCAAGGCCAGAAGACTATTGCCAAAAGTCAGAAAAAGGCAGGACCCATTATAAAAAAAAAATTAATGCAGCCATTCCGGTTCGGGCCGGTTAACTGGTTCTACAGTAAAAATCGTTGACCGGGTTTGACCGGGCCGGTTAACCGGTAGCCCCAAGTGAACGGACCAACCCCCTTACCCCATTAACCCAGCCCACCCGGCCCCCTTTGTACCGGTCTGGGCCGGTTCCAGTTTCAACCGGTCTAGACCGGTCCGAAAACGGGCTGACCCGGCCTGGTAGACACCCTTAANATACTTAAGTATGTGCAAACTTTTAAGGCTTAGAATTAAACTTTGAAGTTTAAAGTTTAAAGTTTTAAATTTGAAATTTGTATTTTAAAATTATAAAATTGAAATTAGAAAGTAAGTGGCTACAAAAATTATTTAATAAGACCAATAGGCAAATTATATACAAAATTGAAGTTTGCATTTAACAAGTAAATTAACGAAAAAAGAGTAAAACTAAATTTTCATGCATAATAAATTAATAATACTTCAAAATTCAAATTAATCTAACAAACTAAAACATAAGCATAAATACGTCTAATAATTTTAAAATAACACAAATTGTCTCAAATCAACTTAAAAGACGAATTCCTGGAGTACGCTCAAGACAACTCTTGATATGCCTCCTTAAAGAGGTCGTGCCACACTTTGGACGAAGATTTAAAACTACACCATAGTTCTTGCACTTTAATTTTCGAGCTTCTTTATTTTCTTCTACCACCTCAAAGTGTTCCCAAACATGAGCGCACTCTAGAAGTACGGGGCATTATTTAACTTGAAGTCTTGAATTGAGAATTTAAGAACAATAAAATCAAGAGAGAATTGAAAGAGAATTAGAGTACTAAGAGAGTGAATTGTGAAAAAAAGTGAAGAAAAAGGGGGGCTATTTATAGATTTTAAAAGGTTAAAAATGTAATTACTCAATTATTAGGGGTGAGAAGGCTATGTTTTTAATGGGGGAGGCCGAAATGGCCATTTTTGCAAAATTTGACCGTCTCCCAATGGTCATTTCTCAATTTGACCGTTGGCAACGGTCCAATTAATTTTAAAAAATAAAATTAACCAACAGTAACCAGGCTACTAATAGGCTGCAGCCCGTTAACAGGTCACGTGCTACGCGGGCTCGGTGCACCGTTAAGTAGAACGTGTTCGTCCAAAACCTGCCCCCCAACCAAGCCGTCCCAACCCGCCCAATAGTGAACAGTAGCGGGCTGAACCGGGTTGAAGCGGGTTGAAAACGAGTCAGCCCGGCCCTATTAACAGGTATAGTCTAAACAAAACTCATCCAGTATAACATACTGGAGAAAAAACTTACACACGGCAGACGTCCCGTAAAATATATTGGACTCAAACAAAACTCAACTATATTATAATATTCAACCAATATAAAATACTGGAAGACAAACATTCACATGACAGACTTAAATATAATATACTGGACAAAATTTATTACTAAACTCGATAAACAAAAAAACATAAGCAAAAACCACACAGTATAAAATACTGGAAACAAGTATTCAAAAGACAGATTTCCCGTATAAAATACTACACCGTATTTAACAAGAACTGGAGAAATCTATAATGCAGATGAAGCAAAAAAATACTTGAAAATTAACCATAATATACAGAGACTAGAAAAATATTTGAAAAACTTAAAAAAACAAACTACACAACGATTACAACATTACAACATAAAACTAATAACAGAGTGACAAAATTATCAAAAATAAGACAAACTAATGAACAGAGAAAAAATCATAAAAGTTAAAATACCACAAATATTTAAACCCTAACTGTACGGAAATCAAACTTAAACCTAACGAAACAACAATAACAACAAAAATTCAAACACATTATTGTAAAAACAACACTCACCCAGATAATTTTGAAGAAAATTGGACCTAACCTAGACAAGATTCGAAGAAAAGTGCTCTCACGAAAGCGAAATCCGTACACTGCTATAAAAACAAAGAGAAGGACGATAAAAAGTAACTAAACAGTATGTTAAAAAGTTCAAGAGCAATTATGTCATTTACCAATATATTTTAAGTTAAAATGGCTAGATATCGATTACATTACCGATGGTGGCTATTTTTCGATAGTCAACCGTAAAAATGGCTACGCCATGCCATTTTAACAATTTCAGCAGATGACCAAGAAGCGGCTCCGTTTCCTGAACCTGGGCATGCGTTTCAATAAACTCAGCAAGCCCAATTATCCAAGAAAAGAGAAAAATTTAATTAGAATATGACCAAAAGAATATAGAAAAATCAAATTTCATTTGTGTTAATCCTGTGAAGGTTTGCCAAGGTCAATGAATGTGGGCTTAGAGTAAGCAGTATTTATTTATAAGGTTCCGTATGAACCCTTGACACTTCAGAGTTCACGATGGAATCATGGACCCCGAATAGTGCTTGTGTCAGGGAGGGTTTCCTTAATCCAAATGTCAAGCTCACACCAATATACCCTTAAGCATCGAACCTTACTCTTCTTCAGAGGTTTAAGCACAAGCAAGTATTAACTTGGCATTTCAATCAAACAACATCTTTGTACAGTCAACATAAAACACACTAGCAAAGGTATAGAAAGTTCTATAACACATTCAGAAGGTTCAATCATACAGAGACATCAATAGTTCAAGTCAGACAACAATTCTGTAAAGTGAAGTCAAACCAGACAACCATTCTTTTAAATGAAGTCATCACTAGCATGCAGATTCACAAATAGCCAATGATTAACCCTCACATCTAAGCTCTAGACTATGATCATATGCGTGAACTCCCAAGTTTTAACAGCTTAGAAGGTTTAAAGGTTAATTCTAAGACATTCCTTATGTTATGTGATTCAAAGAGTAGTCACACTTAGGAAAGGTCATCAAGCACAAATGACTATGTACTCCTGCAGGTAAACTTTATATGCTACTTACAAATTCATGTCCATGAAGGTCATATGAAGTAGTTAAGGCATCCAGCAGTTAACAAAATATACATATACACTTATTTTACTAACTTCACTAAAGGTCCAACACTTCAGAACCTTTCTTAAGTAGGTTCAAATCACTAAGAACATTTCATAGAACACTATAGTTTCAGAACATTTTTTAAGCAAGTATGCCCACAACTAAGACTTTACTACATTGAACACCTATGCTAATAGCCTTACTTAGATTTCCCAAAGAGCATACCTATCAACTAGGTCAACAGAGACGTTAACATGAATAGGAAGGCTAACTTTAGTTTTATTTAAACCTAAGGGACATGGAATCTAATCTTGACAATGCACAGTGTATCAAACTTTTAAATTATCAGAACCAGCAATACTCAATTTCATGAGTGAGGGCCATCTAGACAGTGTTATCAAATGGTCATAAAATAAAAAGTGAATACACTCATTTTACAGTTGACCAGGGCAGGACAAACAGAATACAGCAAGTTACCATTTTAGACAAGTAAGCAGGTTTACTGGTAAGTCATGCCAACAAAGTTTACCATATGATTCCCTTTTATTCAAGGCAGAATAGCCTAAATGGCACCTATACTTGTCCCACTTTGTCATGCCGGTCCCTATACTCCACAAAGTTTCATCCAGACACCTCTACTCGTTCAAAACAACTCTTTTAAACCCTTCCGACCTCGCGTGCTCTTCAACGATCCAATGTGGATGACACATCCATGTCCACCTCAAATTTTTTATGCCACATCATTATTTTTTCAATTCATTTCAGAATTTTCTACTTTATTTTTTATTTTATTTTCACTTCACTTCACTCCTCCCCTCTACTCTCTATCCCACCTGTATGCCGCCACCCTCACCACCCCAAACAGTTCCCCCTCCATTAATTCACCTTCGCAACCCCAAAAATTCGCTAGCTCTACCCCAAATACACCCAGCAATCATTCTTCAAAATGCTCATTATCAAATGAAAACAAAAACAAAGAAAAAAAAAAGAAGATTAAAAATGGAAGAGGAACAATTGAAACTGCAGTCACTATAAAATCCAATAATTTTCACAAATCAAGCAAGATTTGGGTGCTCACACGCCATTATAGATCAGATTCGGGCACCCCTTTTAGTATTTCTCGTCCAATTTGATTGAACTACTAGGGTTGTTTTGTATTCTATTATGGAGGGGTGATACATAAGAAAAAATTATGGTGGTCATCGGTGGTCTCCGGGCTGGTGATGGTTCGAACTTTTCCGGTGTGTTCCTCGCCATTGATGGTTCGAAGGTTTCATCTATAACCAGTGATGAATTTTTGACATGCTCCAGTGATATTCCTAGTCTGCTTGATAAATTATCTTTATTCTAACAATTTTGCATAAGAAAATAATAATGATTTTCTATCTTTGATTCTGATGAAAAGAAGAAGTTATGACAATGGCAGCAAGAGGAAGAGAACATGGGTTCTTCGCTAGTCTTCTTTTTTCTATTTTTCTTTTTTTTTCTTTTCTAATTTTAGTCATTTTCTGCTGAATTATTGTATTCACGCTCTTTTTGCGCGTGTGTACCAATCATTTTAGCCACCTCAGCATTATTTACGCCACATAAGGTAGGTCAACGGTCAAAGGGGTTTAAAATAGTGTGTTTTAATCACTATAAGTGTCTGGATGAAACTTTGTGGAGTATAGGGACCGGCATGATAAAGTGGGACAAGTATAAGTGTCATTTAGGCTATTCTGCCTTTATTCAAGTTATCATGATAGGCACACATGAATTATTTTATCTTAACTGTGCAAAGCAATATAATATCATGAGTAGGACTGCCAAACAGAGTCATCTAGCTAAGTAAACAGATCAACATGATAACATGAACAAGACCAGTAATGAGAATCATTCATTGAACTAAACCAAAGCAACTTGACCCCGTAGGCATGAGAGTTAAGACAACATAATGATGTAGGTATAAAGATCTTAGTTAGTTAATCAGTATATCATGAAAAATATAAGAGCATTGTCCAGTTAACTTAATCATCATGACCGTATAGTTGTTGCCCAATCATCATAGTGTAGGCCGCATATAACCACCAACGTAGGACTTAGTTCAACTAACATAAGGGATCAACATGACTGCCTATAAGGATAACGATAATGTAGAATCATTTCAACTAGCTAAGCTATGAGAAATAGAATCCAACAACCATCATGAAAAAATGATTTAGCAACGACTCGGAAGATAAACATATTTATCAGGAAAGCATCATTAACTCAAAAGCAAGAATAACACAAAAGCATAACACAATAAGCAAGTCACATGTGTACAAATGAATATCATGAAGAACAAAACATCAGGCAACAACCAGAAAGAAATATTAGACAAAGAATTACATATTAATTCGTGAATAATTGAAGAATAAAGAGGGAGCCAGTGTTTACTGACCTTCTTCGGAGCAACAAACCAATTAGAGATAGTTAATAGCCGTTTATGAACCCAATCTCACAGTCAGTTCGCAGTAGTCGAACTCGAGCAGAAATGAAAGAAAAGAAGTTAGAGAAGAATTATAGAATACTGAAATCAGTGGTATTTGCTCAGATTTTAGAGTAGTTCTTCTCTTTGTGTGTGGTGAGAGCATTAAAGGCTCTATTTATAGTAACATTGAATCCTTAAGGCTCCGTTTGGATTCACATAGATAGTGGGGTGTGACGATTGAGTTGCTGATGAGACAAAAAGGGTAAAAACAGAGGTAAAACAGAGTGGAGCTTTTACCTTGGCACGAAAATGGTGAAGAGAATCGACCGTTGGAGACCACAAGACCATCAGTCAAAGCCCATGTCCAAAGGTCACTGCGTTTGACCTTTGGACCAAGAATCGTGATGATACGGTCAAGATTCAAAGCTTGCATGTGTTGATTTGAACGACCATGAGAGAAAAATGATTATATTCTCGTTTGCATCCTTTGGTCTAGGGTTTCGTGGGTCGGGATTCAAATTGTGGTGAGGAAAAGGGAAAACCCGGCGGGATTCTCAGTTGAAAGAGACATGATCAATGTTTTTTTGTTGATTTGAGTGACCTTGTACGATTTTGTGCAAGGTTTCAGGACCGATGGGGTTGATGGAGATGAGAGAAAAGAGAGGAAAAAACAAAAAAAGGGGTGGGCTGGTTTTGGACGAAAATGATTAGGCTTTGGTTAGTCACTTAGTTTAAAACAGGAGACAGGAGGGGAGCCGTTGGATCACTTAGAAAAATGTTTAATACGGATAAAACGAGGGCCACTGGATCATCTGGATCCAACGGTTGAGATAAAATACCAGGGATTTTAAAAATAAAGGGAAAATCAGGATTGTCTGTGGACCGTCAATGATTTGAATCGACGGTCCAGATGCGTTATGCTTTTTCTGTAAGTATTTGGGAAGGGTAACGTGACGTGTGATGATTGGTTGAAAGCAGGTGCATGAATTTCCAAATAGGATGGTGATAGGGCTACCAAACCGGGTCGAAAGTATTGGGCACGTGCTTTTGGGCCAAGTATGTGGGTATTAGACTAGGACTTAATTTAAAGCCAAAATTTCACGGTATAGCCAGTTTTCGGACTGGTCAATCAAAAATAGCCAGCGTTTACCAAGTCAATGAAAAATAGCCACCGTTTTGCTGCAATAGAGACCGGTCCAGCATAATATACTGGAGTTCGGTGCACTTGTGTATGAACTCCAGCATATTATGCTAGACCGGTATACTTTGCTGGCTCCAGTATAATATACTGAAGTTCTAGTGTATTTATGCTGGAACTCCATCATATTATGCTGGAGTTCCAGCATACTATCCTGGAACTCCAGTATAATATGTTGGAGTTCAAGTATACTTATGCTGGAACTCCAGCATAATATACTGGAGTATTTTTCGGGTTTTGAACAGTGTTTTCGCTCAGATTTATCTTTACATAAAAAGTGGCTAAATTTCGATTACTTTTGAAATTGGGCTATTTTTGAACGACCAGTTGTAAATCTGGCTATTTTTAAAAATCACCTAATTTAAACCACGGCCATTTGAGATAAAATCACTCAATTGCAATTGTAGTCCTTTTTCAAGTTTTAACCCCCACTATAATTAAATTAATTGAACTTAATTAATCCCAATGAATTGTAATAAAATATGATTATCAAACGTATTATTATTTAATTACTGTAATAAGTGTTGGATTGTCAAAAATAATAATACTTCGTACTTTAAATTATAAAAAATAATTGTTTGGTTAATTAAAGTAATAAACTCAATATAATTATAATTTTAAGACTAAATTATTAAAATAATTGTAATAATTATTTATAAAACTATGAAAGTTAGTTTTAATTAATGCGGTTGAGGTAATATAGTTGTACATATTCACGACTAAATTACTATTAATTATAAAATTAATATTATTAGTTATTATTATGATTACTATTACTTACTAAATTATTTATATTTTGAGAAAATAGGTATTATTAATTAAAAAAGCCACTACATTTATTGCTGATCAATAAGTGTAAAAAATTTAATTTTAAAGGGGGCGGGTCAAAATTAATCGTCAACGCCGTGTTATCATATGCTTACTCTTTGTTGCCATTTATTGCTTATACTTTCGTTGTTAGCTTTATATTGATATTTTGTATAGGTTATATGTCTAGTGAATATTTTGACTCGAACCCCGTCACTACTCCACCGAGGTTAGTCTTGATACATATTGGGTACCGTTTGTGGTATACTCATATTGCGCTTCTACATATTTTGTGCAGATCCAGGTACATCGGAGCGAGCTGGTCGTTAGCGAACTGATCTCAAAGTTGCTGTGGAGACTTCAAGGTATACCTGCATGTCCATCGCAGGCTTCAGAGTCCCCTTCCATTGATCTTTTTCTACTGTTTACTTCATTTGCAAATAGTATTGTATTTAAAGATTTTTGGTGTACTCTCAATAGAGTTTATGACTTTGTACTACCAGTTTTGGGATGTATGACTGTTCATCATTATGGCTATGTTATGGCATATTCTAGATGTTATTTAACTATTAAGCTGATTATTTTTACTCTTTTCATTATGTGTTAAGCTTATCTAGTTTAGAGACTAGGTGGCATCACAGTCCTCAAGGAGGGATTTTGGGGTTGTGACAACTGCTCTACCACCTCACACAGTGAAAATATTATAATGATGCACAATCTGCAACAAAAAGATAATTAATAATTTACTTATATTTTAGATAAATAATTTGATACTAAGAAACCAAAAAATAGCGTATTTGATGCCTCATAAGCTCTCCCTCGAGTCTGAACGGGTCTGTAGCGAATCGCTCAGTTTTAGATGCGTATCATCTCAGCATCATCAGAATAGGCAAAAGAACATCCCTGGACTTGGTAGCACTATTTTCAAGTGCAGAAAATGCTTCATATGCCTAGGCATGTAATATATTAATCACATACATAACAAAACAATAAATAACTAACATGTATTCTATAATCAACTGCCTAGTGGTTGATAGTACTCACCATGAATGCCCACGAGAAGCCATTAAAAGTATAACTGATATTATTTTTCTCGACATGTAGTTTGTATTGGTTAACCATATCTATCTTATTCTTCAAATAGTCGAGAGTTAGGTTAAATATATTTTTTCCCATGGATATAAGCTGATTTTTTTTAATAAGGCCACCATCTTAAGCCATTTCATCTCTACAATCTTGGACCAGTCTTTTCACCAATGATATTAACATGTGTCATGTAGCCTTCTTGTTCTTGCTGCCTCTAATTTTTTGCCAAAAATCTTCACATTTCTTTAAGATCTTGTTCAAATTTTTATTGTTAGGATAAGAGCTGCAATTCAATGTTGTTATCAATATAAAATCGCTAATACCAAATTACTATGATTTTCATCCATAAGGAACCACATCCCAAGCTTCTTTGGCTCCTTATTTAGACGAAAAAGAATTTTCTTCATGTAGGCTTTGGGTTCAACCGTTATTGCTATATTTTCAAAGCCGATAACTATTGATCTCTTTCCATCTTTCCGAGATGGGTTTCATTTGATTTACATTTCATAAAATGGGGTTTTATCTTTTCCGAATAGTGTTTTTTGATTCCATTCCTAGCTCTGGTATTTACCATTTTATTATTGCAATACATTAGGAGATCACAATTGGAGAATTAATCAATCACCAGTTTAAAAATATAGCAGTTGCGTCGAGGCAACAAGATAACTACAACTTACACTCAAACCTAGAAATTCATTCTAAGATATACATCGTGGAATAAAAATACCATCGCCGAAAGTTCCAAATAAATTAGAGAAAATATGAAAAGATAATATTAACGTCCTACTCGACAATAACACAAACACAATCAACAATAATTTTTCAAATCATATACTTAGGGGATAATAATAGGCACATATTTCTCTCTCTTACTTTCTCTCGGCGCACGATTAGCGTGATGCTAACGTACGCCCACCGGAAAATGGGGAGGGGACGGCCAGCAAAAAATGCGAAGAAAGTTTAGAAGGAGGAAACTAAACTTGCTAAGGGACGAAGTGCCACAATGGGGGTGAATATCACTCCCAAAAGCTTGCTAATCCAAAAAGGGGAAACGCTACTTACAGCACCAACGGTGTTGATGGAAGCAGTGAAAATCAAAGCCACAATGCCAATTGGATCAAGTGGAATTAAGGAACTAGAGAACACTAATGAAGGATCATACAATGTGCAAAAGATGGTGAGCAAAGGGAATTAGAAGATAAGCCCAAACCTAGATATTTGGCCTACGCTACCTGTTAGGATTGAAGGAACTAAAACACCAATGAGTATTGTGAATACACTGCGACCTGCAACTACTCAAATGGGCAAACCTCAAGCCAACCAAATGGGGGAGGAATAGATAAACCAGTGGGAAAGATCATACTACCAACTGGGAGGCCACCGGAAATAGGACCTGTAAATGGAGGTACACAGAGGAGGTTGCAACCGAAGCAGAAGGATCCTGGAGGGAGAACATGGGCAAATATGGTTGAGGGGAACAAACTGGCAGCCAAAGGAATAGAACTCAAATTTATTCCACCAGCAATTATCAATGGTGAAAAGGTCGTTGAATTAATCCAGGAAGATGTAGCCAGCGAAAATGAGAAATGGAAATTTGCCCTAATTGGCTATATGATTGGAGGCACACCTACAATTGGAGAAATAGAGCGATATGTAGTAGCACAAGGCAGATTTGAGGATAAATCAAAGTTATTCTATCACAACGCAGGCTATTTTGTGATCAACTTTACTTGTGAAGAAGACATAAATAAATTGCTATATGTAGGGCCTCATATGCTGAACAACAGACCTTTAATCTTAAAACCATGGACCCCTGAGTTTAATTTTGATGATGAAGAATTGAGAACAATTCAATCTGGGTGAAGTTACCAAACCTCCCATTAAGTTGTTGGAGTCCTACTGCTCTGAGCAAAATTGGGAGTGGTTTCGGACAACCATTATATGCTGATGATTGTACTACAAACTCTACTAGAATATTTTTTGCTAGAATCCTTGTGGAAGTGGATGTCACCAGAGAATTACCTAATAGTTTCAAGGTTAAGGATCCAAAAGGGAGGATGTTTGAACAAGCATAGTGGTATGACCGGAAACTAATATATTGTCCTAAGTGCTTGCAATTAGGACGTAAGTGTCAAACAAAGAGGCATAATCAGAATGACAATAAACCAGGGCCAGAACAAAAGACAAAACCACAACAACAAGAAACAGAATGGAAGGTGATTGGAGCTACTGATAAAATCATGAATCAGGAGACAGCTAAAGCAACAAAGCGAACTCAACATGATGAAATTCCAACAAAGCAAACTATGCCTGATGATGCTGGAGATTGGAGGGAGGTGAGGGGCAGATCAGCAGCAAAAAAATCCACAAGTGCCTCAACATGGCAGTGATATAACTGTCATAAATGGATTCAAGATGCTGGTTGAAGGAGGAAAGTCTGATGGACAGAGCTCAAGTCAACCTGCTCAACCCAGACTAGATACAAATAGAGAGATTGCAGGGGACAGGGTCTCTCATACTCCTCAAACATGTTATTAGTTGCCTGGAATATAAGGGGACTCAATAAGGTGTTCAAGCACAGGGAGATGAAAATGTTTTTAAAGAAGTA